AACTCTACTAAAGCAATCCACTGGTTTTATTTGGGACAGGTTAGATTCCTTGCAACGGTGAATATTGGAGCATCCATTCTTTGGAGTAACGATGTCACGAAAGAATTCGGCGGTACTTTCGCTCAACATTAAATTATGTGCACAAATAAACATATATACATACCAGTTCACATGTAATTAAAATGATAGAACTGAGATCTGAGTATTATCGTGTTTTTATATAAATTTTTCACGCTTGAAAAGTTGTTTTTTTCATAAGAATATTTTTGATTTATGATTTGTTTGAATGGAAAAACAAAACCAAAATAAACAATGGAAATGAGAGCGGCAGACTAAATGGTTTACAAACGTCAAAAATGATAAAAGTGCCTCTCAGCGGTTCTACCTTACTATAGTTGTATCATGTACATGTATATTCTTTTCTTTGTCCATCTGAAAGAATTTTAAAAATTCTAAAAAAATTTATTATGTTTGAAATGCAACCGTGGACACCAGCTGGCAATGGAACTTGCAAATTCCTGCAAATTTGCGTCTGTGCAGAAATTTGCAAGTTTCTCAACATGAGAGAGAATTTTTTCTTACTCTGTGATATTTTGAGTGTTGGATTATTCTTGCTGGATTTTCGACGAACAAACCTTATGTGGGAGCAGGGTAAAATTCTTGTTAAATTTTGATCAGAAATCGTATTTCGTAAATTTTAGTGAATAAGAACAAATTCCTTTATAAAACTTAAAATCTGAAATTGCCCAAATATGTAACGAGATTAGAAAAGGTGTAGTGTGGAAACCATGATGTTTAAAAATGGCAACGTCTTGATTATAAAAAGGCAATAAGATGACCATCGAAAAAGAAAATAAGCCTAAGAATGGCGGCTTCTTGCGCTTATTTGCAAATAGAAAATTAACTCAGCATTTATACGGCAAATTTTACCATTTTGCAAATTGTCATTTGCAAATAATACGTGCTTATAAACGTAGTATAGGTATTTTTATGATTTAATAAAAAACTAAAGAAAAAATGCCAAGAAATTCTTGCCGTTTGAGCAAAAGCACACATAGCGTTATAGTATTGATGTTTTTAGTCCGGAAGGTTGAGGATTTAAGCCGAAATTGGACAGAGGTATGCAACAAAACAAAGGGTTAACGCCAGTTTTGGAAAAAAGCGAACACCAAAAAGGAAAGAAAAAATAATAACAAAATCAAAGATTGCTTTCAAATATGAAAACGCCAGTTACCTGGTACACTTTATATTAGGTTCATTCCTTATCTTTTTGGACTAAAATCTGAAAAGTGTCAAAATGCCAGAGCGTAAGCAAAATGCGCTCACTAAAAGAGAGTAACAGGAAAAGTAAAGGAACGCAAAAAACCAAATTTTTAGTCCAAAGAATGGCAACAACAAAGCTAACGTCAAATAAGAATGGAAATGTATGTACAAAACACATTCACACAAGCACAAGCACAATAAACACTTACTATATCAATTATTTTTTGCCTCCTTCCAATTTGAATTCACTTTTTTACTTTTTAGATTATTCTCACTTTTTGCGTATTCTTTAATTTCCGTTAATTTAAATTCAGTTGAGTTTGACACTTTTCAGGATTTTGCCAGAAAAAATTCTTCTGACTAAATCTGACTACTTCGGACTGATGAGAGTCGCTCTCACTGACTGTTGCTCTCTCATTTTTGCTGTCATTTCCGAGTTAAGGAACGCTTTTTGGACTAAATCTGACTACTTCGGACTTTTTCTGACTATTTCTGGGAGATAAGGAACGCGCATATTATTTCACTATGATAGAAAGCAGAGATCAGCTACAATGTGTATTAATGAAATTTTACATTCCTTAGAGGAAAAGAAGCATTATAAGAAAAAGGTATTTTTTTTTTTTTTTTTTTNAAAAAAGTTTTTTTTTTTTTTTTTTTTTTTTTTAGATATATCTGATGCTTTTTATTGTGGTGATTTAAATATTCTTCAACAGATTTTAAAGCGTTTGGGTATTGACTCAAGAATTGGTAATTGGGTATATATACATATATATTTTTTTCTTTGAGGAAGTTAACTCTTGGAGGTCATATGGTAGAGATTAATAATGGCATTCCGCAAGGAAGTTGTCTCTCCGATTTTGTTTAATTTGTATACTGCAAAACTTCATAACATTAATGATTACAATACTTCGTTATTTCAATTTGCTGATGATTTGGCTATTGTGTCATATGTTTTAAATGAAAATGATGCTATTTTAAATTTGGCTTCAAAGATCTCTGATATGCAGATTTTGTGCAGCTCGCTTAATTTAAGTTTTAACTCAAATAAAACAAAGTTTGTGTAATATGACAACCAGTTGCAGGAATAAATTTAGCATTTAAATGATTCTAATATTGAGCAAGTGGATAAAATTATTTGGCTTGGTAGATCAATAAAAGCTAATTGTACTATTGGTGGTCAAATTGAGAGAGTTAAAAATGTGGTTGTTATGGGTAGAAATCTTTTAGTCAAATTAACTTCTATAAAATCGGGTTTAGCTCCTACGGTATCTTTAAATTTGTTCAAAGTGTTTATTAGATCTAAACTAGAATAAGCAATTACTACCCTGCAGTGAAAAATTATCAATTGTTAAAACTAACCAACTTATAGTTAGCTTTTTGGCGAGATTTTGATCAATACCTCACTTAAAGTGAATTGTAAAGTCGTGCAGGAGTCATGCAGACGCAATCGGGAGTTGGTTTTCTTTACAAGTTTCTATTAAATATCCTCATACAAAAATTACTTTCAATACACTTTTTTTCTGAACTTCGCAGATTCTTTTTCATATTCAGGACAAATAAAAGGAAGATCGAAATTTTATACTATCATTTTGAAGTTATGTCTGACGGTGTTCGAATATGGGGCTACCCAGAGCAGAATATGTAAACAAATATGAAATGTAATAAAATAAAGTAAATAAATAAGTAAACAAAAAAGTAAAAAAAACAAAAAAATATTTTATTTTTCTTATTGATATTTTATGTCCAAAAGTAGTTAGTTACAAGTTAGTTGACATGTAATGCAGAGGTATCCAGGTCTGACTTTTCTGCGGCCATCGCCCCACAAAAGTAGTTGGCTTTTTTCGAACAAAATACACAGTTAATAGTTAGTACTAGTGTTCGCGTAAACAGACTAAAGTTAGGTATAAGCTAACGTCACTCCCTGCAGGGATACCTATGCTAATGCACCAAAGGGTTGTTTAGGTGTTCCTCCAAGTACTCCAACCTTAACTAGGTATGCTTTGGCATGTGAGTTGCCTCCCTTAAAAAGAGCTGAATGGTTAACTGCTAATTAGATGTTAAGCAGTGGTTCATAAATTTTTATTTAAGATATAAATTAGTTAATGGCAATGTATTAACCCCAGTTATGTTATAGTTATGTTTTTGAGAAGTTTGGGAATTTATTGTGTAGAATTAATGTTAATGTTGCTTTTTTTAGGCAAACAGATGTGGTGATCTCCGAAATAGTGCTATAACTTCTACCGCTTAGACTTTGTTGCTTTTTCAATTTTTCCTAATAAACAATCGTGGTACAAAGCTCAATAAAAATATTAAAAACAAATTTTATTTTAAGGGATTCAGATCTTAATGACTCTAAAATTAATGTTTCTCATGAATAATTGGAATCGATTTATTATGAAAAAATGCAGATTTTTTAAATGCTACGTATGCTTCGGTTAGTGATAACCAGGGAACGGATTTTATGGAAATTGCCTTTTTTTCTGCTAAAGAGATAGAGTATATTCGATTAAGAATGTCCACGATTTAGCTTTCCCTGATTCCATATATACACATTTGATGTTGCCTTTTTTTGCCTTTTTTAAGATATTTGCCATTTTTTTGCCTTTTTTATGATATTTGCCTTTANAACCCTTAAAATTGATTTACGAAAAAAAGAAAAATGACAACAAAACAACAGGCATGGACACTCCGAACACACCAAAAAGCACCACCAGGGCAAAAATCACTGACTTTTACCTACCTGCAGGCAAAAACCATACAGCGACAACATAATGCATGTTAATATCGAAACAGCGAAGATGAACCTATTACCTGCTCAAAAAAATGGGCACCATGGCATATCTAGTAATTAATCATCGACGAAAATCACATTACCTAAGATAAATGAACATAAATTAGGGACAAATCTCGAACCAGACAGAACGAAAAATGACACTGAAGATGGCACAACGCCGAAACCGGTTTGTCTGCAAACCAAACTTGACAAGGGATGACGGAAATTCGTTCCAAAATAAATCATCTTACCACCCTGTCGGAAAAATCAACCAACACCAACACACAAGATGGAAAATACTAGTTTTCTATGAAAATTGCATCGGAAAATAACAAAATAAATCAGCTGTTCATAAAACTAGCAACTTCTTTCTTCNTTAGTTTTCTAAAAAAATTGCATCGGAAAATAACAAATTAATCAGCTGTTCATAAAACTAGCAACTTCTTGCTGGTTTTGCGTTTTCGTACTTTCTTGCATATTTCACTCATTGGGAGTAAATATTGGCTTACCCTCCGAAATTTGGTTACTGGCAAGTTACTGGATATTTCTTGCTGGAGAATACAAAAACACAACTAATGTCATACGCTATTTGACAGCTGGCGCTTGTCGCTGTCGCGTTTAATGTGTTTTGACATTTATGATTCAATGAAACAAACGCGATCTGTAAACAAGGTAATTTAAAATTTGGTTTTTATTAGATGTAAATTAGTAAGGTATTCCCTCATTGTGCAACTCAATATGTTAATCCTTGGCATTGTACTCAACATTACAACTATAAAAAGCTGAGGAAGAAACTGAAGTTTGGGAACTGGCGATTGCACCACAGTGCTTATGATTGCTGGACCAAACGTAGTGCGCCGTTTTCGAAGGACCTACGTCTTAATTTAAACTCGAATACCGATAGTAATCAACTGCAAAATGAAGTATGAAAATTGCGTTGAAAAACAAACAATANGAAGTTTGGGAACTGGCGATTGCACCACAGTGCTTATGATTGCTGGACCAAACGTAGTGCGCTGTTTTCGAAGGACCTACGTGTTAATTTAAACTCGAATACCGATAGTAATCAACTGCAAAATGAAGTATGAAAATTGCGTTGAAAAACAAACAATCGAATACACACACACCACCGTTCCGGCCTCAATGCGCAGTCCTTATTGGAAATACTTTGGGTTTCCTTCAGACAGTGCTAATAAAATTTTAACGCGGCAAAAGATTATCTGCACGCTTTGTGGTACTGCCATTACTTACAACAAAAATACATCCAATCTTCGCACGCACCTAATTGCGCGGCATCCGGAGCGACTGCATGAAATGCATCTGCAGCAGCGGCAGCAATGCTCAACATATGCCGGCTTGGAAGAGGGCGACAGTAATGATGTCTCAACAGATGTTTTAAATGAAGTTGAATTAAATGAAGAGAGCGAAGTAAAAGTACAAATATGTAAGCGCTCAAATTCGCTCGACCATGATGAGGGTAGTGCTTTAAAAATTAAACGACTGACCTCAAATTATCGTGCAGTCAATAAAATAACATTAACAAGTGATCAAGAGGTCAGTATCTAATGCTAAGTAAACTTACTTTCATGCTTCAAATGCTATTTTACAGGACTCTCAATATCAACATGAAAACACAGGGAATGTAAAAGCAATTCCAAACCATCAAAAAATTAATGATGTGAATGAGCACGTCGTTGTTAATAGAAGCAGGAGTGGCTACGAGTTTCTTGATTCAGAACCAGTTAACGCTTTGACAACAACTGGAACCGAAGATGTGGTCATTCATTGTGCTGATGATTTCAGTGTTGATACTGTACACAATGAAGCACATGAATTCGTAGAAGACGAAGCAGTTACGCTTGAAAGCGAAATCACGCAGAAATCTTTGATTGACGACTCAAGTAGTTCCTCATCCGGTCACCGCGGACAATCGAAAACATCCAGTGCGTTGCAAAACAGAACTTCTTACGTCGAAGGGCTTGCAGGCATGCTGGTCACCGATCTATTACCGTTTAGTGTTTTGCAGGGGTTCGGCTTTAAAACTCTTCTTAACTCAATTGGAGCTCCTAATGTAGATAAATATGAAATTGAGAAGAAAGTACAGGATGACTTTGGGCAAATGCAAGATATTCTAAAAAAATATATTTCACAAAACATTTTGCAAGATCATAAACCATATTCACTTAGTATTGAATCTTATATTAATAACGAAGAGGAGAGCATTGCTAGCATTTATGTTAACTTTCTTAATGTTGATTATGAAAGGAAATTGGAAAGTGTTCTATATGAAGAAATTGTCTGTAACGGCCCAATAGACTTGGAAAATGCTTTGCTAGAATTCGATCTGAGCCGTTGTGCTGTAATTGTAGCAATGGTGGACGAGAATTCAGTCGTAAACGAATTCGCCACAACTCATGGTAGGTTTTCTCAACTTGAATTTAAAAACGTGGTCAAATGTCTGTATGTTTTAATTAGAAATTGAAGTGGTGCCATGTTTGGATGCATTACTTACTCGGTGTCTTGACCTAATATTCGAACAGAATGTAGTCTTAGAGGTGCTTCACAGGATTTTTAAACTATATCAGGTATTTGTAAACGTCATAGTATATTATAAGACTGCAGATATAACGAGATTATCAATGATTTTGTAGTATCTTAATTTGACAGAATTGCCATCCCATTGCTCGTGGTCGAAGCTAAAATTTATTAAAGATTTCCTCGACAGCTCATTAGCGAACGATTTGGAATGCCAGGATATGGCGTCAGAGTTGGAACCTTTCATAGCATACATAAACCCTTTGAAGGTATATACGAAAAAATAAACTCTCAGTAAGAAAGATTAACTTAGTTTAGCCAATTTTTTAGACTTAGTCAAGAATAAGCTGTGTAAAAAGTAGGCTAACTTTTGACTTATGTAAGTCCAAAAAATAGCTAAACCAAGTTGAGTTGGAGAAACCGGGCTGGTTCGAGGCATGTAATAAAAGCGGCATTACTGCTGTACTGATGAAATTTTGCATCACTGTTGCATGTGCCCAACTGACAATACGTTGCTAGAAATTCACACTGAACGTGATACTCTAATAATTCGCGCAACACTGCGGTTGTGATTGCAACTCGAAAAAGCCCATAATTAATATTAAGCTGTCCTAAAGAGGAGGAAAAAAGCCTTATCAAAAGATGTGATGATTTCCTAATCAGACTTCTAATATCACTCTCAATATATTTTATTCAAGCGATTGGCACAATAATGACTATTGTAACTGTTCACCATAATACTCTTCATAGATTACATTTGATACAATAACCACAGAATCGTTACCGCTCTGTACACTTGTTCGGCCATTGATTACGAAACTTTTCGAGGAACATTTCTTAGTATTTAACACAGAGGGTAATGTTTACCTGGAGTCTGCGCAGAAAGTAGTCAATGTTGAACTACGCAACAGGTAGGCAAAATGTTTTTTTTTTTTGAAAATTAATAAAATAATAATGTGTGTTTTGGTCCGGTAACTTAGCCTGACAAAGTGTTCATATTTTTCTGAGGCAGTAATCTTTGATCCGCGCTTTCAACATGACTTTATTCAGCCCAATAGTCAACAGATATGTGATCAACGACAAAATGCCACTTTTGATAGTATTCAACGCCAAGACATAGTGGCGGCAATTAAACAGCGGTTTCAACGTTTAATACCGACGTCAGATACACAACTAAAAGTGGGACAAAGCCAGCAACATGCCTTACCACAGATAGTACCAAAATCAAGTGAGTAACTATGTAGCTAGGTAAACTTCTCATGAAAATTATTTTAATTATTATTTTTTTCGTTTACAAGGTTTAAGATCTTTTTTTCATCGCATTAGCGATGCAGCGGGCGCAGCTAATCGAAAGCATTCCAACAATCCGATTCCGAAGCTAACCCAACCAGAAAGTGCTATCGATGTAGAATTTAATCGATACAAGTGTGAGTCAACATTAGATTTAGAACAATGCCCGATAAGTTGGTGGCAATTGCAAGCCCAACAATATAAGCAACTGTACGAAATCGCCAACTACTATCTGAGCGTTCCATGCTATGCGGTACGTTCACCGACGATAGGCGATCATGAAGAAACGGTGGTAAATAGCAGAAGTGTGCGGTGGCAAAGGCGTAGGGCACTTCGACTTCAACACCCTGTCGAAAAGTGTTTGTGGTATTTACACTATAATCGAGCATTATGTGATAAGATAAAACAATCCAAACAGTTTTGTTAACGGATGGGAAAAGCAGAGAAACGTGAAAATGGTGACAACTGGTGCTCCTATTTTCAAAATAGCCTTAACGCTTCACTGTATCCATAGTTTCAACTTAGTTATAAAATCTGGTAAAATATTTTGTCGCTATCTAATTAGCACAAGCATGTTTAGTTTTTAGTATGCTATTTTTAAGTCGCTCTTATTATAAGGATACATATTTTTTCAAAAAAAGAAGTTCATATAATATACATTTTTATATGTTACCGGCCAAACTCGATCTTAGGACAAACTAGTTTTTCCTGGGCGAAACTAGTTCTATCTAGATTCGATACATCCGTCTAACGCGAAATCAGGTTGGACGCAACAATATTGTAGACTGCGTAGTTGGAGTTGGACTGATGAGGGTTATTTCTATGAAGTGCGGCCGAAGGCCGCTTACGCAGAAAGTAGTTCTGCTCAAAAATAATGTGGCGCTTGATCTAGTTTAGCTTAGTCAAAACTAGTTTGTCCTAAGATCGTGTTTGGCCGGTAACATATATAACGTAAATAGCGAACAATAAATAAATATAAATGTTTATGTTCTTGCTCGTATCAAAAAAATTAGTTCCAGGTAAGCTCCTTATTTTTTAGAAATAGGGGCAGTTTCATAGGGTTAATAAAGGAATGAGATAATTCTTTATTATTTATAAATCAACGTATTTCACATTTCTTTATTATTTCAAAAAGATATAAGTTTAGTAAATAATAATCATATAAATACTTGCTACATTCGTGTATGTTTGTATATTTGTTATAATTCATTTATTGTTTTATTTTTTCCTTTACTTGAAGTTTGGCATTAGGTGGTTTATTTCCCCATTTAAACTTCATCCCTAAAATTTTTACGGCAGCAAGCAGTTCTAAACATTGTTACACACGTTAAAGGAGGATATAATCTTAAAAAGAGTAAACCAATGTAAAATATAATACATAAAGACACGAATACGGATTAAATAAAATTTGATATATGTAGTTAAATACATAGTACATACAATATTTCTCCCAACAATAAAATGTTCATTTTGTGTATGTTTGTATATGTATTGAAATTACAAAACAAGAAAATGCATTGCGCATATGTATGTAGCTCTTCTCATCATATTTCTCAATTTATTAGTATGTATAACTATTTAAACTAGCGTAATCATGCAAGTATACTACCTATGTAATATTGCTTTATAGACTTACACATGTATTTTCATCCATAAACTACATACATACGTATATATGTATATAAATGTAAATGTATGAATTATGGTGCATAATTTTTAACTCGAACTGGAAGTGGAATAAAATAAATACTTTTTGTAGTTTCCACATATCTTAGCAAAGACGCATGTAAAGTATAATTTTAAAATACCTTGTCTTAATTAAATCAAATCTTTTTAAGCGGCACGCGCTCGTTTTCTACGCATATTGCCGAACTTTTGATTTTGTTCTGGATGTTAAGAAATGATATGTAGTACAATACGAGCGTGATCGCTGACCTCGCAAACCTATTGGGTGCTTGTAAATAAGCACGAGCTCTAATATCGCAATAAATTTAAATATCGTCACCTTAATTCTTAAAGGCCTAACCCAACACTATTTATTTATTAAAGTACAACTTCAAGAAAAATTTTACAGTGTTAGTACCAAAGGAGTTACATGCCACTTTTTAAAAATCCCTACCGGTTTTGTATAGTGTTTTCTGCTTCTGTAAGAAAAAAATTTGTTGGCTAGAGCACTTGTGAACTAATATAACGATATATGTATATATATGTACATACATATGTATCTGACAACTGAATTAAAAGTTTTAATAAATCTAAAAGGGTGTTTCGAGTTAAAAACTTATGACCCATACCTGCTTATGTCTACTAACTATATTTTATCCACTCAATATCCGCATATGATTGTTTTAATACTTGTGCATACGCTCGTTAACATATGTAGAACAAGTGGAATATAGAATGCGCTTCGCGAACCAAAAACTGAAGAAGCAATTTTGGTGTGCTAAGCAACGGCTGGGTCACCAAGAATTCACCTCTTTCACTGCTTCATACGCCTTTGGAACAGCAGCCCACTCGTTTTTGAAGGTTCTAAGTTAAAATTTTTTTTTTTTTAAATTCCCTAATTCAATTTTGGTTTTGTTAAACGTCCGTACTCAAACGGAATCGCAAAATTGAATTTACTTTGTTTTCATTTGCAATAAATAAATTTCAGCTGCGGCTTTATTACATGAATGTACGCGTACATAATATACATATATGTAAGTAAATTTTCATTTAACCTTAATGGAGCACGGATTTATGGGAGGACCATGTGACCTGGGCATTATGTTAAATAGGAAAAAATATTGAATTTGCTCTTGAAATGCTTTGAACTTGATAAAGACTAACATAAAAGATTAAAATCACATTTTAAAATTTTCACTGCTAATATTCATAAGCTGACAAGACTTATTCATTCTTATTTGTTTTCATTTCGAATTGTTTTAAACAATAGTTCGATATCTGATGTAAACAATTTTCAAATACAAGAACAAATAATAGGCTACAATCACAAAATATGATTCTAATGGTGATGTGTTTCAAGTATTGCTTACTATTTCGTCGCCGGTTTCTCTCGAAATACTTCGCAGACGAAAAATGCTTCTTTATGATAATTTCAATATATTTTGCGTTGAGTTAAATGATGCAGCAGCATGTTTTGCATTCTTAAATTTTCCCGGGTTGGCTTTTAATTTTTACTACATTCTTTTTTTAGTTGTTCAAAAATGATTTGATTTTATTTACGTATGTAGTGGTTCCACATAATTTGCCGGATAAAGCCCAACGCGCCCATTCATACGTCCTTTGCACCAACCTTGCTCATCTTCATCTTCAAGCTTCTCGAAGACATCACCTTAAATATATTTGAAAAGAAAATATACATATTTACTTATATATAAAAATAGTGTTTCGAAAAGGCACACGACCTAACCTTGTTTAAATGTTAGCTCATCATCTTCTGCGCCTTCATAGTCATATAAAGCCTTGACTGGTACACCTTTTTCTCCATTATCCACCAACACGTTATCACCTTCATCCCATTCCTCCTCTTCTTCGAATGGATTGACGTCGGGTTTGCCATTCCCATTCCTGAAATATAAAAAAAATACTCCAAATTAGCCCCAAAACGGTCAAAATTATGACGACGGTAATGAGAAAACAATGCTCAATGCGTGGGTATGCAAATTTTTTCCGCACACAGTATAAATGTTCACACTTGACTTAGTTTTGATTATTTCTATATTTATGGGGATTAACTTACGTTACGCTTGAATTGCGATTGTTTGAAGCCGATGCTGCATTTGCGCTTTTACCGATCGCCGCAGCCGATGACGCTGTCGCTGTTGTAGGCGAAGACGCAGATTCTTGTGGCATGGATTTTCCACTAGATTTGCTCGAATTTGCCGATGATTTCTTTAAGCTATTCGTGTTATATTCCTGTAAACAAAAAAAAAGTAACCATTTGCAAACGGTCAGAGCAATATTATAAATACATGCGGGTCCTCAGAAACAGGACGCTGATTGATAAGTGTGATTGCTGCTGCTGGAAGAGCCTCCTTTGATTTGCTGCCCTTTGCTATATCTCTGAACTCTTCGGTGTATTCCTGAAGCAATGTAAATTAAAAGTATGTGCATATGCATGCGGAGCTATAAATTCTACTTACGACAAATGAGGGCCAATTCATAGCCATATTTACACCGTGATTATTTGACCACCACTTCAGATCCTTCTGCTGATCTGCATTATTTATGGTGTGATAGAACTCTTCGTATATTTGCGGCAGACTATGGAGTTCAAACGTATTATAAAAATAGGTGCAAGCTTATGTCAAAGGCAAAAAAGAAACAACTCACGTACCATTGCACCTTGGTGAGGTCCAGGCACGCGTGAATATTGAATAGAACATCTTTAAAGAAGACCAATCGTGTCCTCTCCATGGCTTGGCACTTTTCAAACACTGAAGTCATATCCTCGATATATACCGAATTATATTTGGTAATCTCTGCGATGGCCTGCTCGTATTTCTCCCGACATTTTGCAACTTGATCTTTAGTTTTCTGAACACGATCGTGCATTTTTTTGACCTGCGAATAAAGAAATAAGTATGTAAATATAATATTTGAAATGTGTATGCTATGTACTTGTAAATGCATAAATAAAAATACTGAATGAGGAATAAATTAAACAGAAATGAAGAATTTTGCTCGAGGATAGCCATTTTCATTGGAAACAAAGTATACACAGCACGCTGCATTTCCTCATCTAACGCTTTCAGAATTGCCAAAAAATGAAAGATTTAACTATTGATATGTACCCAGACATTTTCGGGTTATGTTTTTAAAATTTACATTGATCCAAAAATTTTAGATAATTCTAAACCTGTTGTATTGTATATAAAGTTGTATTTTGTTTAGTTTTAGGATTTGCTAAATGACATCTATACCAATTAAAAGCTTGGCCATATTATATGTCTACACTGCCTTCTTGCTTCACATATGCTCAACAAATTACTCATTTGTATTGATTTTTAAATAACCTAACAATGTGAGTTGCGAAAGACCGTTATGTTTGCCTTGACACGCAAACAAAAAATCGCTCTTATCTTTAATAAATAGGCAACAATGCGGGAATGTTGATAAAAAAGAAACCTACACATGAGAAACGGTGTCGAATCGGTGAAGCAAAGTTAATAATTTCTTCATTTGCAGTTCCCACCGAGCAACTAACATATAAAAAACTGTATGGTAGCGGTCAAAGGGTTAATACAATCTTACTGATTCTAAGTGTTGATACATACTTGGTCCGGTGATAGTGAACTATCCGCCGTGGCATTCCGTTCTTGATTGGTGGCACTGCGCTCCGTTTTGCAGGCAGCATGGTAATCAGACTTTGTCTTCTCTACTTTTGCTAGCAACTTAGCCCAGGGCTTTTGCGCCTTCTTAAACAAATCTTCCATATCCTTGCGTTGCTTGATTTGCATAAGCGTGTGATGATAATTGTCCTTTTGCCAACCTTTTATTTGGCTGCTCACGTCGTTGCATAAATTTTCTTTGATCTTCATGTGTACGTCACTGATGCGTTCAGACTCGGTGAGTACGCTTTTCCAGGCAGCTTCCGTAGTACCATATTCGGGGCCTTATTAATTAGAAATTAGATGTTAAGTGAAAGCATACTATTATGTCGCAAGGTTTGAAATAATGGCAACGTAATACCGAATTTCTGCTAGATATTGAAATGATAAAAATTACAATTACATTTTTTAGTGCTCAACTTTGTCATTCAAATTTGTATTATATCAACGCCCTATGAAATCCAGGCATTGCATTTAAAGCTAATTTGTAAACAGAAAATTTATAAAACTTAAGTCAAGGCGAATTAATATATATTATGTATTAATTATACATACATAAATTCGCCTTGACTTAAGTACTGTATAATTTGCGGTGCATTGAAACCAAAATTTATATACCTAATAAAATAAAAATTTCCCTTATCAGAACATTAGAAGCCCATACTGGTGGTATAAGAAAGTAATAAAAGAGTAGGTATTTTCCCTGAACCTTAAAAAACAGTTATAAACCTATATTCAACTGTAAATACTTGAAATCAAATCAATACGTGTTTAAGAACTCTAATAAGTTTTTACATTTTTGTTGTTTTCTAACTAAATCTTCATATGAATTGATAAATGCGTATACGGGTACGATATTTACCAATACCAATCAACAAATGCAAATGCGATTTCATTTGATTTCAAGCCTTTTCGACATACTAACTGATTGCGAAGTTTCTTAATGAAAAATGTGTGTCGATCTTAGGTGTGTGCTACACCTATGTATGTATGTACATCTGTTTATATGTAAGTACGTACTGTACAATCGCAATCGATTTTTGAAACCTTTAATATGGTACCCGTTGTGACAACGAAAAGAAAAGTGGCTCAAAATAAAGTTAGATAAAATGTGTAAACAGAAATGTATCTAAACAATAGGTAAAGTGGCGTCTAACTGAAAACATGGGTGGCCGGTAAAAAAGTAGATAGATAGCTTGGCATCAAGCCGGGGTGACGTCTTGGGTTACACTCGCCCGCATTGTTGCCCGTAAAATAATAAAAACATATGTATGTATGCATGTACATTAGACTGCATCACTTCCCATACAAAAAAAAATCGCTACTGTGTTTCCATCGGAATTATAAAATCCATTATATTTTAAGACTACCACCAAAATATTTCGGAAGAATATTAAGATTTACGTGTGCTGGACTGATTTGAAAGGTATTTTCTCACCCTTTTTATTTATTTGCTAATACACGCATTTTTTGCACAGAAATAAAAAGAGCGAGAAAATTCCTTTCTACTGAGACCACATAAGTCTTAATCAGTTTTGGCCCAGTTATTCAAGTTTTTCGTAAAACAATCTTTAAAAAAAGTTAAAAAAAATTGCATCAAAAACGTCATTATTACGATTCCGTTGAGAAGATTTTTATGCAAATTTTTTACGCTTAATCTATTGTTATCTGAGGGGATTTTTTTTTTTTTAATTCTTTAAGAAACTATTTATATTCGTAAAAACCTACATTTTTGGAGGTATTTTCAAATCGGTCCAACTGACGTAAATCTTAATATTTTTCCGAAATGTTTTGGTGAACGTCTTAAAATCAGAGGCCGAAAATAACCCGGCCATTTATTCCTGTGTCACAAATTGTCATTTATTTCTTGTCATAAAAAATAAATCACTCACAATAACTGTTATAACAAGCTTATCTGCATTTGGTAGACTTTTATTTGATTTGTTTTTATTTACGTTTCGAATTGACCTTTTGTTTTATTTTTCTGTTTTAAATGCAACAGTATCCAAGTGGGTATGATAAAAATACTGAGTGAAGTGCTTCGATAGTTTGCTTCTAGTTAGTATAGTTGACTATTTAGTGAAGGGAAGAAAATGGGCGGAAAATCATGCGTTGAATTCCGCAGCTTTTTTATGACTTGGATACGAGTAGTGATTAAAAAGTTTCAGTGTGTAAAGTTTGTAAAAACTTTATAACGGTGATCATTTAAGTGAAAACAAAAATAGTTTTACTTGCTATTCTTTATAGTTTGTTTTACTTCGTTGCATTTTCATCATATATTTTCTCTGCACCATAACTAAATTTACTAACTCACCTTTTCAACAAAAAAAAAAAAAATTCCATAAATAACTTCGATAAGCCTTTAGTTTCGTTAGCGATTTCATTGCTCACAGTCATTAACCGTAAGCTCCCCGCATAAAATGCTTTCATAGTAATATATCACAAAAAGTATCAAATAAATGGTTAATGATAAAAAAAGATACAATAATGATATTCACCAAATTGAGCAAGTGGCCTGGCGCTCTGGCAAAATAGCAGGTAAGCTCAAGCAACGACAGTTGCCAATATTCGGTGCTTGAGTTGATTTGCTCTATTGCCATACTGCCAGGCCACTTGCTCACTTTGGTGAATAGCACTAATGTGTTTAATGTGGACCAGTTATTTTCGGTCTCTGCTTAAAATAAAATCGATTTTGTAATCCCGGCGGAAAAACCGCAACTTATTTTGGTGATGCAGTCTAATATACATACATACATACATGATTGTATGCTCATAATATAGATGTACTACAATATGCAGCCAATGAGCGATGACAACAAGTGTAATGATAATACAAACGACATTCGTATATCAATGACAGTTCGCGGATACCCCACATCGACTGCGATGATGCAAATTTGAGCGTCCGCGCTAAATGCTAAACGCTAAACAGTGTGACTAAAAACATGACTTCATTTGACCAATTAAAGTTTCTAGTCACAACTATGGCCGCTCGTTGTCAGCAAACACCGATTATGGAATCTAAAGGTTTATGTGTTTGCTTATTGCACTTGTCTATGTACAGGGGTACATTAGGATGGCGCATAACAATGTGAATAATTTATGAATTAATCCAGAACTGTCGCTCAATAGACAGATTCAGATAAATTCATATTTGTACTTTTCATTTATGTACATACAAACATACATACATAGCAAAAACTTTTTGCAAAAACTTAAATTGCTTAAATACAACATAATCTACAACTATTCTACGCGCTCGTTGTTTTATTCAATAAATATTTTCTAATTTAACTTTTTAACCGACTTCAAGAAAGGAAGAGGTTATCGGCGAAATAATTTTATTTCTTTTATGTATGTATGTTACCGCACAACTCAACCGATTTCTAAAATTCATTTTTTTTTTTTAGGTAAAGGTAGTAGCTCAGGTAGTATGCTTGCATATTGTATGTACAGTATCGGTCAATAAAATAGCACCCCCATTATTGAATTAATTCATCTTTCATATTGCATTGTTATAGGGTTCTGAGTTGAGTTTGGCGGACTTTCCAAATGCATTATTTCTAAACTCTAATTGATGGAAATTTGCAATTTGAGCAACTTAGTTCCAATTCGGCATTTCAACGTGGAAAAAATTGTTAAAAATTAATTGCAAGATTTGTTTACACCCAAGTGAAAAATAATAAAAGCTTGTAAAAAAGAAAATACAAAATGTAAACTGAAATTCCTTTGTACTTTGTAGTAAAGAAATGCTTATGTACATGAAACGTATCTGTGCACATCCCACCTCTAAGGCGATACAGCATAAAACCGAACGAAATAATACTGAAGGAACAAACAAAAATCGATTTGATATCGGGGAAGTGAAAATACCGGCAAATTACTGAAAAAAAAGAATGAACAGCTTACAGAAAAACCTAAATTTCGCGACAAAGTGTGACCCACAATCTTAAACAAAAACAAAAAACTCAACAATAACAGCAATGGAACCAATAGGCACAATAGGCAATAGCGTATAGAACGCAAAAGTAGCGAATAGTGCCAGTACCTAAAAGTAGTACAAAAACCGCGCAGCAAAAGAATGTGAATAGTTGTTTTTTGCTTTAGCAACCAACTTTAGTGATATCCAACGCGAATGCTAAAAGAATTTTTGCTAAAGCAGCAAAAAAGAACAAATTTTATTAACGTATTTTTATATGGTCCACTTATGGAGTCGCTATAAATACATACTAGCAGTTTATATGTAGTAAATCAATGCATACTTGTATGTACATACATTATGGAAACATTTAGATACAATACTACCATTCAAACAATGTAAACAAAACTGCTTACAATTATACACTTGTATGCTTAAGACGTTCATAAATCATAGTACAAAATAACAAAAACAACAATACAGCCCTCGCATACCAGTTACGACCTCAACAGTTATTTTATCTAAAATTCTCTAAAATTGCTTTCAAAATTAAATTATGCTATTTTGCTCCTCGAAACGGTTTACATCAACGTTATTACGCGAATGATAGGCATCTGGATGTGTGTATGTATGTATATGTTCTTATTATTAAAAAGTTTTTAAAACATCTTGAAAATTCTGTATTGAAAGGCATCAGTTTTCAAGACTTTTTTCTTATCTTTATTTTAATTTAATTACCTTTCTCGATGAGTTCACCCCATTTCTTCGACCACGCACGTAAACTCTTTGCGTAACCCTTTTCTATATCAGCACGTTCTTGTATTAGAGTCTGCAAGTCATTGCAAAGCCTATTAAGAGTCGTAAAAAGGCATTTATTTATTTTTTACACTCATTTTTATAAAGCTTCTTCTCAACTCACTTGTATCCGTCTTCGATACGTTTGGTGGTGCGTTTATAATTGCCAGGTTCCCAGAAAGAATCACTTCCTGCCTGCAGAAGGTGATCATCGCTGTGATGCGACATGACCTATAAAATTATAAAAAACAGCAGTTTAGTAGTTGTTGACAGTTTGCGCAAACAAGTAGAAAAAAGTATGAATTTTAAAAAGAATAAATACACATTTTTCGAAGCACATTGTAGCAGTTTTTTCTACTTGTATCTTCTAGATACGCTATCTCCACACTTTATTTGCGATAGAAATTTAAAATAAGTGCCAGGCGAAAAAAAAGTTATCATTCAGCAAAAACCGGACTGAAACAACAACAAAGTTCATTCGTTACACGAGCGCGAGACTATCAGATGTGTAATCATAAGGTAAATTTATCTCACTGACGCCACTAACGCTAAAGCTACTACAGAATATCAACCTGCCAACCAAACGGGCGCTATCGAATTTGACGTCAATTAACTGCGCTCGACCAATAAACTGGGCAGATTTGAAAACCGAGAGAGTTGCTGGAGCGCCGAAGGTCGGACGGCAATGGAAATTTTAGTATTAATTTGTAATTCGCATTTGAAAAACTAAGAACATTTGCTTACATAAAATATTATTTAATTTGGAAAGCTCAGTCTTAATAATGGTATGGCACTGATAGCGAACAGAATCTATGATTTCAATTACACGATAATACTCGATTTATACGATGATAACCAATCGCTAAGGTGCCGGCGAAAACGAAAGAAATTTTCTTTGAAATGGAAAGCGGAAAAGGCTGAAGAGACTCGTCGGAATGCTCGCGCCGGGTTGGTGCACCAAAACTCACTGACTACACCTATTCTATTTGCCAACACAATGAACCGCAGTCAAAGCTAGTCATTAAATTTTTGTTATTCTTTCTACATACCTATCTACTGTTATGTACATAAATACTTTTGCTTCCCCGCCCAAACACTTACCCTTCTCTATTATCTATTGACCGAGCTAGCTCGTGGATTTTGCGCTTTGGAATTATTGTTGAAACATTATAACGAATACTCTTTTACACTTATTTTCTCTCGTGTAGATTTCTCTTAGGAATGGATGATGCGAGTGAGAGTAATGATAATAATGTAGCACCTTTTCGTGCGTGAGACTACTTCTAATTGGATTTGGATATTAGCACAGTTTAATGATATGTTATATTATAATTATATATAAATTGATAATTCTGGTTAAATACATAAGTATTTATGCTAAAGCTCTTCCGCTCTAGCGTTGGACAAAATCTTAATATATAAAAATCCCGTATCACTGTGTTCGTTTAACCGATTTTAATGAAATTTTGTGGGGGTGTATTGTTGGTTCCAACTTAAAAGATGGGATATTTATGAACCCGCGAAAAATTATTTTTACCTTTGTTGGAAATAAAGAAAAAATCAGATTTTGGTGTTATTTCCCATTTAAAAGTTAAATAAAACAAATTTTTCGTTATTGCCGTTTGTGGTATTCATACCTCTGAAAGTGTTCATGGTAGAGTACTGGAACTTGGTATGGAGATATATGAAATCAAATTGGGGCTATTAGAAAAAGGAGAGGGCACATCCTATACAAACCGAATTTTTCATACTGCATATCCCGGAAAATGTTCATGGAAGAGTACTCGAACATGGTCTGGAGAAAGATCAAAACAAGCGCATACTCATGGAGAAAAATTGCGGTTATTGGAAAAGGCGTGGCACCTCCTATACAAACCGAATACTTTTCATACTGCCTATCTCTGGAAATGTTCGTGGTAGAGTACTGAGACTTGGTATGGAGATTTATGAAATCAATCACATGGCCATGAAGAAAAATTGGGGCTATTGGAAATCAAACCGAATTTTTCATACTGCATGCCTCTGGCAGTGTTCATGATAGAGTACTCGAAGATGGTATGGAGATATATGAAATCAATCCCATACTTCTAGAGAAAATTGAGGCTATTTTATAAGGGGGCGTGGCGCCTTTCAAACGCACTGAAGCTATTACGTATCTTTGTATGCATATACACTTTTGGTAGGTTATTAAAGATGGCAATGGAAATATGCCTTCCGACAACCACCAAACCGTAATATTAAAAATTAAATGCGTCACTGAAAATCATGAACGTGACCTCTATCTCAACAGTAAATTTGATTTGCTGCTACGTACGTCAATCTACGTTTACGCTAGGTCGTTGACTAACTGCGCTTTTAGTCCGAAGTTCAAAGGAACAGTTTTTAGCAGTTTTACCCTATACTAGAAAATCACCCTTTAAGGGCCGTTTTCTCATTTAAGCTATAATTTTATTATTATTTAAAGGTTGCATTAAAATTTATGATTGTCTTAAGTAAAACATTTTAACACTAATCTCCAGGTTAACATAGTTAGCGACTCTGCCGGCTCAATATCATATGAATTGAGTCGATAACGTCGTTAACGATGTTTAACTGGCGATTAGTGTTATCCAGAGATGGTGAAAAGAGCACTAACGGTTTTAAATTACGCAGCACCAGTGTCTCCGGGGACTAGTAGAACGCAGTGGATGAAGCTGCAGACGATGCAAAACACCGCACTACGGACAGCGACTGGATGCCTTCTGATGTCGCCTGATCACCCCCTACACGACGAGGCGAAATTGCTCCCGATCAAGGAGCACAACACAATGCTCTGCAAGCAGTTCCTTGTTGGCAGCCTTAGACGTGGTCACCCAAATGGGCAACTGCTTGCAGAAGAGCCCTCGCCCTCCCTACGAACTGACGGACGAAGTCCAGAGGTTCATTAAACAACCTCTGGACCCGTCAGCTTATCGACAGGCCCTGAACGGCATTCCCAGGGAGTCAGTCTCGAGTTATGTAGACTCCAGACCTGTGAATGCCGTTCCAGACGCACAACTACCGGACATTGACGATATAGAGATTCATCTACCTCGGGAGACTAGAACCACAATAGCACAACTTCGCTCTGGCTACTGCAGCAAGTTAAACACATACCTGACCAGACTAAACGCAGATGTACCAAATGAGTGTCCGGCATGCAGAGACACCCCATGACTCGAAACATCTCTTCGTATGCGCGGAAAACCCGACAACCCTAACGCCTTTGTACCTGTGGACCGATCCTATCGAGGTTGCACCCTTCTTAGGGCTGCCGTTAGTGGAACTTGACAACGATTGAGATATTAACCGATCTGGACGGGGTTGTTGTAGCCGCTACAATAACAAAACAGCCCTATCGATCCATATGGTTACAAACATCGCCTCATGTGAACACCGTTTTAGTATACATACATATGTATGTACATACATAAGCATCAGGGCTGCCAATTTCGCTCAAACCGTGCCATTTCTGGGCCAGATTTTACATCAAATGACACAATTCTTCAATTAGGCACAGTGCCAAAAAGGCATTTTTCAAAATTAGTAATATTTCAATACATTTTTGGGGAATCCTTTGCATGTAATTCTTTTTCTAAACTAAAGTTTTCTAGTTTCTAAAGATTATTCAACTGGTTTATCTTAGTTTGACATTGCACTTTTTCTTTAGAAATGTAGATCTTATTTTATTGCTAAATGGGAAGAAATAAAAAGGATGGCACCTTTTTTTTCTATTTGGCACATTTTGGCACTTTTTTATCCTTAATATGGCACCTCATACCTATGGATAGTTGGCAGCCCTGATATGCATACCTAATGCATAGATTTAAAGAAATTCTATGTAGCTACTTGAGTGTCGTATATGAATTCTATTGTAAAATAAATAAACCAATTTTATGCAAATTGTATATCTGCAGTTAACTACACAGCAAATGTTGCTTGACTTCAACACACATATATATTTACGTTAAAAATGCTGAATGACCACTACCGAAAACGGGGCACATCACAGCCTAGAGAAAAATTTACATTAAAATGGGTTGACGAATTGGTGGTGAGCAAACCAGCGACTAAATGCATACACGACCCTTGGAGCCAAAAGAAATGGCTTTTTAAACACACTCAATTTAATATTTTTTAGTAATTTTTTTTGCAATGTTAAGTAGCACTCGCAGAAAATAAGAAAAAAAAACAGAAATGGATCTAGTTTTTTTAGTTCTTCACATCAATTTTGGCAGGTTCTTTCATCCAGTTTCGCTATAAAAAAGTGTAACTTTGTCTATTGAAATATGTTTACCTAATATGTTAACAAAATAAACTCAAAAATAGCGTGCACAATCGAATAATATATATTTCGCACTTATTTATTAAAAAAATTAGGCGAAAATTGGCGAAGAAAATTCACACGCGAGCAATGAAACGACTGCGAACGAATTTCTCAGCGAAGAAAGTGTAGAGTTGCCAGCCATTAAAACTCGTGAAAGATAGTGATACATAATCTTAAGAATGCAAAGAAATGTTCATGCAAATTAAATTTAATATGTGTATTTTAATGAGTTATGCTTAAGGTGAATGTCCTCCAAAATTATTAGTGCGCCAAAAATGTAGACTTACGTGGTGTGTAAAAAAAAAATTGCAGTTTTTTAAAAAACAAAAATTTCCTTCATAAAAGGTGGCAGCAACTTGTCAGCTTTCCATTTTCCACTCAACTCTACACGCTAGGGTTTCCGTTTCGCACTAATTGAAGTTGAGAGATTTTTGAGAAAGGAAGTGTTCAACCATGCAGTGTATATTCCGTTAATTTGGAAGCTACTTTCAGGGCTACGCGAAAACGTACGTCAAATTAAGTTGAGTTTCCAATTTTAAGGTTCGACATGCCACCGCTAATACCTTGGTTATAATGCACGGGGCGTATCGTAACAAATCGCGGCGAATTCGTAAGGATCTATTGATTTTAGATGCTTTCGTTTTACATTGCGTTCAAGTGCATTATAATCGTTCGAATTCATTGCCCATACAATAGATAATTAAGTGACAGCTCACTCCGTTCCGTTACTTTCATTATAATCCAGGCATAACAATGGCCACACACGACGAACATGTATGCGAGCTTGCTCGCCAACATGCTCGCTGTCGTTTGCCACAGACGGTGAGCGGCAAGGGGAATTTATACAAGGTGGTGTTACTGGTGAATTTAGATTACAACAACAAAAACCACATGTACTTTGTATTGCGGGTGTCAAGGCGAATTTATATGTTTACGAATTTATGTGTGTACTAGCTCAGCTGATTTTTGTATGTGTTTCGCCGCACGGCTTCTGATATCAAATTGAAAAATTTTGTTTGAATTTCTACACACACTCTTACAGATTTTGACAGTTTATGCCGCCAAAGCAAAAACAAAATACATGTAAATTTTTGTTTTTGTACTCCTGCTATCACCTTATATTAATTCGCCTTGGCGGGTGTTATGTAAAAACTCAATTCGCCCCAAAATCTTGCCCCAAAATTTACATTTATTTTGTTTTTGCTTTTGATGGGTGTGCTGTCAAATCAGTAAAAGCAAAAAACAAAATACATGTAAGGCGAAGAAATCAGCTGGTATTACAACGCCACCTTGTATAAACTCGCCTTGGTTTTGACTCTGTTCGCGGCAAATTTTTTACTTTCACCTCGAATATGGAAAAGGCAAGCAAAACATAAGAAAAGCGGCAAATGTTAATTTCTGTGGTTATTTTGCACAAGTGGTTGAAAAAATGTAATTTAATTTAGAAAATATATAAATTAAGGTGTAAAATATAGAATATTCAGCGCGTTTGTAAAATACGGAGGTGCTTGTTTGTGAAAGTGTCCATCTTAATAATAAAAAAGCGTTTGTAAGTGCAGTGTTTGTCAACAAGTGTCGATTGTTGGTGTCTAAATATGGATAAGTGACCATTATTTTAAACAAAATCAGTGTACTTTTACATAATAAAATTATAGTTTAAAAAACTAAAACCTACCTATTATAATTGCCATTCGTACTGTCATGTATGTAACTTGAGAATGGAAATTGCTGCATCTTTTGGGCGCATCAATATTATACATAGTTACATCCCGAGTTAATAAAAGGAAGGTAAGAAGGTAATCTATATCTATATCTATCTATATCTATACTAATTATATAAAGAGAAGTCCTTTTTTTTTGTAACAGGTAATCTCGCGAACGGCTGGTCCGACTTTGATGAAATTTTGTGTATATAAATAGCTTTCAGCAGCCACCATGTTTTAGGCCAAAAAAAATTATTTTTTTCCGGTAGGTGCACCAGGGACCGATCTATTCAAAAAAATCTTAATATAGTCCGATTTGCTTAAAATTCTGTACGTAGGTAGATTTTTGCCCGGATTAGCATACATGATCCTTTTTTTCCGTGAAGTGGACCAGGGACCGATCTATTCGAAAAAATCGTATTTATCGTCCGATTTTCTTGTAATTCGGTACGTCGGTAGCTTTTTTGCCTGGATTAGCATATATGATCCTTTTTTTCCGAGAAGTTGACCAGGGACAGATCTATTCGAAAAAATCGTATTTATGGTCCGATTTGCTTAAAATTCTGTACGTAGGCAGGTTTTTGCCGGGATTAACATATATGGTCCTCATTTTCCGGGAAGTGGACCAGGGACCGATCTATTCGAAAAAATCGTATTTAGCGTTCAATTTGCTTGAAATTTAGTAGATAGGTAGCTTTTTGCCTGGATTACCAAATAGGATCCTTTTTCCGGGAAGTGGACCAGCGACTTATCTATTCGAAAAAATCGTATTTATCGTCCGATTTGCTTGAAATTTGGTAGATAGGTAGCTTCTTGCCTAGATTGGCATATTGGATCCTTTTTTCCGGGAAGTGGATCAGGGACCGATCTATTTGAAAAAATTGTATTTATGGTCAGGTTTGCTTGAAGTTTGGTAGATAGGTAGCTTTTTGCCTCGATTAACATATAGGATACTTTTTTCAGGTAGGTGGACTAGGGACCGATCTATTCGAAAAAAATCTTCTTTATGGTCTGATTTGCTTGAAATTTGGCACGCTGGTAGCTTTTTGCCGAGATTAGCATATAAGATCCTTTTTTCCGGTAAATTAACTAGGGGCCGATCTGTTCGAAAAAATCTTCTTTATGGTCTGATTTGCTTGAAATTTGGCGCATAGTTAGCTTATTACCCGAATTAACATATAGTATACTTTTTTCTGATAGGTGGACCAGGGACTAATCTATAGGAAAAAATTGTACATGTGGTCCGTTTTTCTTGCAATTCGGTACACGTATTATACAGTTGGAAAGGTATTTAGCAAAGCAATCGCGTATTGGCTATTTATGTACGTGTACTATTATCTATACCAATTATATAAAGAAAAGTCCCCAATTTTTATATGCGGTGATCTCACAAACGGCTGTACCGATTTCTTTGAAATTGTGGACACCTTTTGGTTATAGGCTGATAATAATTTCGTTATATCAAGGGAGCGTGGCATCTCCCATACAAATCGAATTTTTCATACACCATATCTCTGGAAGTATTTGTGGTAGAGTCCTGGAACTTGATATATTATCAATCCCATACTCATGGAGAAAAGTGGGCGTGGCGCCTTCCAAACATACTGAACCTTTTACCTATCTGTAAATACGTACATAATTCTTTTTGGGAGTGATCTCCTTCTGAACGAGGTTCACAACTTAAAACACCACGATCCGATCTGGCTAATATTCATGAATGTATCTAATTTATATTATTTTTTATATAATTTATATAATTTCATTAATTTTTATAATTCAGTGATAATAAAAAATTGAAATGCATTTACAAGCAAGTGAATATCGTACATTTACTGTAGTTTATTCACATAAGGTGCCCTCTTCTCCGGCAACGTAGAAAGGAGAATTGTACTTAGTGTGGGTTATAAGCCCTAAGTGCGGCCGAAGGTCGCCTACGCATAAAGGTGCTCTCTGCAAAGGTGTTCAGCCCCTTTTCTTTCGCCTACGTTTTTTTTTAAATACTCTGTATAGTACGGACTGAAGATATGATGTTGTATATCAAATTAAGCTTGTTTTATATCCTGTTGGATTATGAAATATTTGAATATGTTAAAAAGGAAATTTTTAAATAATCATGTGATTGTTTAAAATTTGTTGTAACTTTTTTTAGTTAAATTGAATTTTTGCCAAAACTTTATAAGTTGTATATAACATTTGTATATCGTATTAAAGGCATTCGTATTTCCTATTGAATGACTTCAAAAATTTTGAAATCCGTGCTTTCGTTTGCAAAATATTTGGGTTTAAAAAAATGATGAATTTTATTTGTGACCCTTGCTAACTTCTGTAGTTTTTGTTTCCCATCAAAAAATAAAAATAAAAAAATGTACCGTTATACTTGCTCCAAAAACTTCCATCGACGTCCTTATTCAAAAATTTTCGCCCCGGTTATCGTAATCGTGCCTAAAAATGCATTAATTTAATAAGAAATCTATGCATTTACTATATATATGTAAGTGTGTACTTATATTTATTTATTTATTTATTAATGCCAATCGGCTTTATACATACAAAAAGGGAGAAAAAGTGAAGTGAACATAAAGTAGCCTAACATAGGTATAATAAAATAACAAATTGCATGGTAATAAGTAGGAACCAACTAACAACATACTGCTCTCTTAATTTTGTACAAGAATGAATTGGGTGTAACTCCGAAGAAGTCTACTGCAGAACAGTGTTCGTTGACCAACTTGGCTTCCCTATTACAGGGATCATTAATGACGTAGTTTTTTGATGATTTCATCGTGAGGAGTAGACGATTCCTTCTCAGGCGTGTATAGGGGCAGACTATACTAAATTTTACAAGTACCTCCGGAGAGTCAATGAACCCATTGAACACTTTGAAAAACAATGATAGGTCGGATATCTGTCTTCGGCAAGTCAAACTCTTTAAGTTGAAGCGTTCCATGACTGCATTAGCGTCAGTTTCTCGGCCGTTGCGACGTTCGAAGGCAGATACAAATTTACAGAACTTGTATTGGATATTTTCAATTCTGTGTACAAGCGTATCAGTATATGGAGACCATACAACTGAGCAGTATTCCAGTGATGGCCGTACTAGCGTTGAGTACAAGTTAATCAGTGTATCTGTATTGCTGAAATCTTTGCTCGATCTAATGATAAAGCTCATTGTCCGATAGGCTTTTAGACTTATACTGTCAACGTGGCTACTGAAGGTTAGCTTGCTGTCCATAATTACACCCAGGTCTCTCATAGTTACGGTGACCATCCGTTCTGTTTTTTGCAGGACCGTACTGTTTTTCAAAGGTCGGTCCTGCGTAGTTTTTCAAACCTGAAAAACCTGAAAATGTACTGATTTTTTCCAAGTGTCCTGCATTTGTCCCGCATTTTATTCGTTATTTTAAAATTATCGGACAATGGATGGATTTTTTCAAATAAGTGTTTTTTGGTACTTTTCGTAGCTTTTCTTCAATATCTCATGAAAAAATCTCCAAATTAACGTAAGCGACTTACAGCTCGAAGGGTATTGATGTGCCTCTTACCAAAATGTATAACTTGTGGCGACTTCAATGAAAATTATTAGTGCTACAGGCGAAAAAAGTGAGATTTTCAATCAAATACGCAGTTTTATTTGATTATTTTTTTCATTATTTAAAAAATTCGATAAAGAAGATATATCATTACAGTAAACTTTGAGCCAAAGATAATGAAAATCGGATTAGAAATGTAGATGCTATGGAGCGCAATCTGCACAAATTATATATTTTTGTAAAGGGCACTTTGTAACTCGTCGTTTACATCGATTCATGGCGTCGATTTTTGACAAATAACTGCGAAAAGTACCAAAAAAACAAAAAAAAGAAGCGTATTGTTTTCGTTTTGAACGACTCAAAATTTGCCTATAAAATAATCTTTTAAAGATTTCCGCTTTTTGTGTAACCTATTGTAATTATAATATGTTTTACTATACTTTTATAAATATTCATGTAAAAAAAGATTAATATCAATGAAGAAAACGTGATTCATTTTTAAAGTTTAAAATGTATTAAGAATTTAGAATCATAAATACTCTTTTGATATTTTTATACTACATAAATATATGCAGGCATATTTTTGAAAAATTGTCCTTCATTTTGAATCCATATTTATGGTCACCGTACTCATAGTAGATACATTTTCTAATAAATTGCGGCCTAGTGTATTCATAGCAACTTGGGTTCTGTGAGCGAGAAAATAACATTACGGTACATTTTTTTATATTCAAATTTAGTTTATTGAACAGGCACCAGTCATAAAGCTGGTTTATGTCCGATTGTAAAGCCTCACAGTCGGGGGCGCAAGTTATTTGTCGGAAAATTTCTAGGTCGTCAGCAAACATTAAAAACTCCGACTTAATATTGTTACCAATATCGTTCACAAAGATGTTGAAAAGCGCAGGGCCAAGGTGCGACCCCTGAGGTACTCCTGAGGTAACAGCGATCTCGTCGGAAGTGAACCCGTTCACTCTTACCACAAGTCTTCTGCCACATAGGTATGAGCGGAACCAATCTAACGCTTTGCCACGAATACCATAAATACTAAGTTTGTCGATTAGTCTGTCGAGGTCAACCGTATCGAAGGCTTTACTAAAGTCAGTATATATACTGTGGACGTCGTAACCCATGCTCATAGACTTGATTATGTGGCTAACATACAAAAGCAAGTTCGTTGTGGTAGATCTTCCGCCGACGAAGCCATGTTGTTTGGATATGAGGACGTTTTTCAGAGATGAAGATAATTTGGATAATACAATTTTCTCCAGCAGTTTTGCTAATGATGATTGCACACATATCGGTCTATAATTATCTGCTTCCAATCTTGAGCCAGACTTGTGTATGGGGCATATAAAGCATAACTTCCATAGGGAGGGGAAGTAACCAGTCTGCAAGGACTTGTTGAATATATGTGTAATGGGCACGCATAGCCCAGAAGCGCAGTATGTTAATAGTTGGTTAGGCAGACCATCCGGACCAGCCCCTTTTCTTGTATCAAGAGCTAAAAGGTTATCAAAAACTTCGTCGAAGTTGACCTCCAGGCTGGACAAACTTAGGTCGTTACAATCAGTAATAGCAGCATTGGTCGCGACCGAGGCAGTTGTTTGGTCAGTCGGGTAAACACTCCTAAAGAAGGAGGCAAAGAGATTGCAGGGCCGCTGTTCGCCGTGGTATTGGTATTCATCTAAACCGATAACTTTATCAAGCAGATAATCTTATAAGTTTACGCACTCCGTGAAACAAAACAAACAGACAGGATAATAATTGAACCAGAGGGTCAATTCCCGTTCTGCGTTATCGTGAAATGAAGTGAAAAGTATAAAATTAACACCGAAATAAATGCGTTGTGAAGGTGATATTTTTATCACTTCACGATAACGCAGAACGGGAACTGACCCTCAGATCTCTATCAGGATCATATCGTTGTTGTTGAATTTGCGTGCAAAATTTGTATGCGGATCCCGATTAGTGCCCAAGAAAACATAGCTAGAGTTGCGACATAGTTGTATTGGCTTCAGTTTATCAAGTTTATTCAGTGAAATCGCTGGAGAAATTTATCAGTCTCCATACAAATTTTGACGTTTGCATTTAAAAGGTTTGATGAATACCCTTATTTCGTTTTCATCGGAAAATACATTTCAAGGTTTATGGAAAATGTAATATGTCGAGCCATCTGATGGATAAATTGTATTTTTGGCGGCATATTAACAAAACTAATGTTCATTATATACGTCGATGTCATACATTTTGTGTTTCTAGTTCAGCTTTCGTCACTCGAAAATTTTACCTCAAAGAGGTGTTTTATTTGATTTATATTTTCGCTAGTGTATATATACATATGTTAGCTGTGCTACAAATTTTGTGATGATACGAGGCAATATTCATTTTAAGTTTAAGTTATGTAAAGGACTTTATAACTTGAAATTGGTAATTTTTTCAACCAACATAATAAGGGCAATTTACAGCCGTAAAGACAATATAGAATTATGTGCTTCTTTTTAGGTATTTTTAAATGAAGATTTTTTGGGATTGAAAAGATTTTTTTAGCTTTAAAATCTTATTTAGAAGATCTTTTTTGAAAAAATTAAGATTTTTAGGGGATTTCTCTGGCAACACTGACTAAGTCGAATGTCGTGTTTGATAATAGAATACTCTATAAAACACCAGTTGAAAGAGGCTCACATGAGCGATGAGTGGATAAAATCGATACGTAAAGTGCTAGGAAAAGAAGAGCATTTAGATTTTTTCGTAAAATATGACCTGTTATACAAAGACCCATTATTGGAGCTATTGGTAGTACCTGCTGCAAAGGTGGAAGAAATTATTGGAATAGCACACAGAAAGGGACATTATGGTACAAAGAAAACTCAGGATTGTCTGGAGAAAGAATTTTATATTCCTCAGTTGCGGTGTAAGGTAGAAAAAGGTGTTAGTAATTGCGTCCAGTGCATTATCACTGAAGGCAAAGCAGGAAAGACGGAAGGTTTTCATACAACAATTGATAAGGGAAACGCACCGCTTTGAGGGTCTGCGAGAAACCACCACAGTTTCGGAATATAAGAAAAAGTGGCGCGATTCATTTGGGGCGAATGAACTATCAGGACGGCCGAATGTGGGATCAGTACAGACAATAGCAGCCCGGTGGGGTAAGACGTACTAAACTATGCAACTCTGACGGACACAACGAAGCAACCCTGACAGGACTGAAAGCAGTTAGTTTTGAAAGAGAGCCGCTTGAGTCAATACCCGTCGTCATGCTTGCATTTACGAACTAAAAGGCTAAGATTTCTTTGTAAAAACTAAGAACTTAAGTACAGTGTTAATACTTTCCTTTTCCATGCAGACTTAAAAGATAAGTTATGAACTACTAAGTATTTAAAGCTTAGCTACTTAAGCCCTGTATGCAGCTCTCAAGAAAACGGTCAAGAAAAATTGCCATTATTTCGCGTGTGTGCCCAAGGAATTTTGACATTTTTGATACCCCACAGCCTGTGGCCTCACTCTTTCCTCAAGGAATAATGGAACCGGCATATATTTCTGTTGCAAACCTGGCTTGCCTTGTGCTCTTTTTTCACAAAAAACTTTAGAAAACCGTAGTAGAAAGCGTCGTAAATTTCTTAAGACTGCGAACTGCCTTAAGGAAATTTGACTCAAGAAAATTTCTTAGCCATTTCTGGTACGTCACTCAAATGTGGCACTGAACTATTTATTGCATTAAACAACTCAAAACTAAATATTGTAGTGCAATTATTGGTATTTGGACAGCCTTAACCCACATTCATAAGAACAAACATGTTGCTAGGCTCACTTAAAATAATTCAAACGCTTCAAATTACTTAGGTCAACTAGATTTCTGACGGAAGACCTAGAACCTTTCTTTTCTGGCAATAAAAAGTATGGTTTTTCAGAAGCAAAGCTCTTACGAAAAAACTTATTTTATGCGTTACCGACATTCTCAATAAAAACGCCCCAGTGTGAGATACACATTAAATAATCCTGTTTTTATAAAAAATCATCTCAGATAACAAAAAAAAAAAAATAACATATTGCAATTTTAAGAGTTCCAATCATCAACAAAATAAGAAAAACCAAAGAAAGTTCAGCTTCATTCGACTTTTTGTCGTTGACTAATTATTTGCCATCGCAGCACTTATAAGATACAATACTTTTTACACAGACTTGCATTTTTTCATCGAAAAACTGGTCGCCACTGCAACGTTGCCTTTTGACCTCCACGCCATTTTCGCAAACAATGTAATTTCGACAGTCATCTTCGTTGGTCTGCACGTAGCTATTACCACGACCCTGACACCGATTATAACTGCAATCCGAATCTAAGGGGTCAATACATGCCAGGGCGGTTTGGTCATAAAACGTTCCCTCCGGGCATCGACCATAATTGGGCTCTAAGTCCCGTACGGTTCCAAAGTCGCGGCAATAGAAATAGCCTCGACATGTGACACCATCCGATTGGAAGCCCTTTAGAATTCTTGAGCTTGTACCACAGCTAAAAGTAGGCACGCAAGCATCATCCAGCCACTGTTTACCGCACGTTTTCGTTTGCACATTGTAATGGGTATTCCTAGCACAACTGGTACTTACGCTTTTGCCCTTCGTGCACTTGTAGTACTTACTGCAATCGGCTGTGTTGCGATACAGTGTGCCTTCCGGCACCAAGTCGCAGATTTCATGCACTACATTACAACTAAGGTTCTCCGCAAAATCGCACATCGCATCGTTCTCATTGAAAACATAATCATTTTCGCAGTAGCCCTGGATTGGCTGGCCTTCTCTACAATAGAGATATCCCTTGCAAGAAGCCGGGTCGGTAATCCACTTGCCATCGATGCCCTCGCAGCGATTTCGGCAATAGTCATCCGTATCAGTTAGGTTTGTTTCTAAAACGCAGCCTTGTTTCGCGCGATCGAACTTCTGGTTAGATGGACACGAGTAGGTAGTACCCATAGAGTTTGCGCAAAGAATATACTCTGTACACGAACCGGGCTTGCGGATACGAGTGCCATCCTGAAAATATTCATACATTAGTAAAATAAAGAAATATGCTGGTAGGTGCATTAAATAAATTTAAGTACCTCGAATAGACTGCATAGCTCAGCGGGATCTGGTAGGATGGTATTACATTGAGTCAAATCATATAGGCAGAAAAATGTCAAAATTACTCGCATCAAGGCTGTAAGAAGCATTTACATACATATGTGTAAAAAGAGTAAATTTTTAAATTTTAATAAATGAAAAAATAAAAACAAACAAAACAAAACTCAAATTACAATTTACAAAACTCAATGTTAATCCTACATTTTCGGTGCATGTTTGCTAAGCGACAACACAAAATGACTTATTCCGCCACGTTTGGGTCTAGAAAAAATACTAAGTTTAAAGAGGCTCTACTTTCAATGATTATTTGGAACTGGAATAGGTTTGCTGTCTTTTAGCTTAAATATAGCCATATTTCAAATGATTTATGTATGGATTATGATTCCCAACAATACATGCGTACATACAGTGGCGGATAAAAGTATTGGCACAGAAAAATTTTTCGCAATATATGCGACTTTTTTTATTCAAAAATAAAATTTCTAAACTTCAGGCAAAAATTCAATAAATTTGCATACCAATTGGAAACTTTCTCAGCAGATTATTTAAAAAGGTTCTAAGTATGTAGTTTTATAGCTCATTCAGTTTTAGTAAAACAAAGTGCAAGTTTGAAGTTGCTGAAAAATCGTGTGGATTTTCGGCAATTTTTTTCACGCAGTTTCATCCATAAAAGGTATGTTCTACAAGTTTTTTTTTTTGTATGGAAGAAAATAATAACACCGTCCACAAAAAAAAAAACTTCCAAAAATCAACTCCATTTTTTGCGACTTCATACTTACACTTTGTTATACTAAAATAGAATGTGTTTTCGTACGAATCGAAAATTTGAAATTTTTTGTATAGAAAATGATAGAAAAATTTCATGATTTTCGATTCGAACGAAAACAAGAATACTGCCCATAATTTTTCTAGAAAGTGTGCTTAGAAAAATTCCAATTAGTATGTAGAGATATCGAAATTTCCTGAGTCTTTCACAAAGTTTAGAGATTTTATTTTTATGTTTTTTGGTGTAGTATGAACTAAGTATATGTTTATAAAAAATGATCGAAAAGAAATTAGAATAAACAACTTTTCAGATATTGCGAAAAACCCCAAAAGCCAATCATTTCGTTCGGCACTGTAAATATATACAAACATGCAGTTGAGAATTATTCTGCTTTACTTTAGACGCTCCTATTTAGCAAATAATCGTGTATGGGTTATTCGAGTTTGCGAAGGTATGTACATGGATGTACTATGTACTACGTGGGTGTGTGTGCCCATATCAGTGATGCTTATGCATAGTATACAGTCCATCTTCAGTATAACGGACTTTTTTAAACGAAGCTTTTCGTATTACAGCTTTTTCGTGAAGGATTGCTAAAACGTAGAAGAAGTTTTCTCCACAGCGCGAAAATTTTTAAGGGCTGGGCGGTTTTTTGTTTTCATCGTACGGATTTCTTGAACAAGCAACAATAATTTAAAACAACAGCCCGACTTTTACAAAAAATCAATTTGTTTTTGCCGTTAATTTTCACATTTTGTTTTTCTTAAGACAGTGTCACACGATTGGGCATTTGTCGTGTGAATGCACAAATATTTTTCTTTATCCCAACCACGAAACACAATTTTTTCAAACTTTTCAATAGAAGATCGCTGTATTGTACCAGATGTGCGACTATAAAAAAAAATAATTGTCCCAATTTTTTATTTTTTACCAATAGCCCAATCAGTATTGCCGGTGAAAAATTTCATAAAGTCGAAAAAAGGGGTCATTGACGAAGTAAAGGGTCACCGTATTATTTTTGCTTTTCTTTACTAGTAAAAGAATAATTCTGTTGAATTTAAAATGAAAATAGCGGAACAAGATTTGCACAAAACAGGGTTGCAAACATACACATAAATCTAGTTGCTGGAAGGAGAAGAGTTGCATTTCCTCTAAAAGTTTTAAGTGATACATTTTTCCGTACTTACAAGGGGAAACATTTCTTCATAGTATGGTTCTGTTAACTTTCTGAAAAAAATCTCTGAGAATGGCAAAAGTCGCACATAATTTTGGAAAAGGTCAAAAAATAAAAATTTTCAAAAAGTCGGATCAAAGGGTATTGGTGCCTAAAAAGGTTCAACTTGCCCCTTTAGTTGCACAACGCTAACACTGAGCCCAATGTGAAAAGTGTACAAATCTGTACAAATGTACCAATCATGTGACACTGCCTTTGGGGCCGTTTTTAAAGTGACGAGTTAACTCTAATTTAGCAGCTAACCATAGGTTTTCAGTACAAGAATTGAAAGTTAACTGCCGAATTTGAGTTAACCCCCCACTTTGAAGACGGCACTCAGAGTGTTCTGGTTTTCCCCCTGAAATCAACGGCAAGTATAAACTATTCAGTTTAATTCATTTTCCTATGTTTAGGAGCGTGTAACTAATCACAAAAATGTGAAATTTTAAATTAATTAAGTTCATGTGAGTATCCGCAAAAGCACGAATGATTTCAAAAATGATGATTTCGAAGTTCTACTGTATGCATGTACATACGTATGTATACATACCCCATAATCGGGTACATGTACTTATGTATGTATCTACATTAGGGTGGACCAACAACAGTAAAGTCGGAATTGTAATGCTCTCACCTCCTAGGATTGTTCTATATCGAAAAAAGTATACCCCTATTTTTTTATTTTCAAATCAAAAAATATTTAGAGGTCGCTCAAAGCGCTCAAATTTTTCCATAATTTTTTTATATGGGACAAATAAATTTTTTCGTAGAAATGGCATAGAATTCTTGAAAGTCAATATTTTTCGATCGGAAAACTGTGGTTCTCTTCGGGGGGTGAGAGCATAAAAGTTCCGACTTTACTTTTTCACATGCATTTTTGGACCACCCTAATCTACATACAGTGATGGAAAAAAATAGGGACAATACATTTAAACAAACCTTTTTTTTGTTTAATTAATACTAGCTGACCCGACAGACGTTGCCCTGCACAAAGTTTTCTGTATTTAATTTGCAAGTTGGGTGTTTTAAACTTGTGGACAAATGTATTTATGCCTGATATTGCTGCTGTTTTTTTTGTTTTTTTTTTAATATAAGTTTAAGTAAGCGCTTAACGACTTAGTTTATGATATGCAATATTTTTTGTTTTCTTTTCTGGTGCGTAAGAAAACAAAGCTGAGGGTTTTCCAACACGGGAGCAGGCGACATACAATTGACCATGTGAGAAACACGGATTTTCACGGTTAATACCGCAATCAGTCATTGACTGTCCTTGTGACTTGTTTATATTCATCGGTGTCGGCATGTCGGTGGGAATCATTGGGTGGCGTGTTGTCAAAACGTCTTCTCCCTTACTTTCTCTTGATAGTTGTTGCTTCGATGACATTGCTCATCAATTTCTTCACCGCCATCCGGGTTCCAATACAAAGACATGGTTGGTTGATATTTCGCAACATTCTGTTTACCGATCCGATATTCAATTGGAGACTGTGAGGTGGTAGTCCTGGAAATTCTTGCGAGTTTAGAAACTCGGTTGGATAGTGCACAACATCATCTTGCCTGGTAATGGAATCCATCGATTTGCAAGTCGTTCGTTTTGAGTCTCGAAATTCAACTCATTGACATCGATGTTTTTCGCAGCCAGTATAGCACGTTCGCTTAACCAATCATGATTTTTACAATTTTCCACAATGTTCGGGAATGCGACTTCAAACATGCATTGAGTTCATCGGCTGGCGTTGATCACGGATTTACGGGCAATGTTTGGCGAAAATCACATGCCAACAGAATCATCGCACCACTAAACATGTTCTGATTATTTCGTAGATATCCAATCTTTCGGTCGAATGTCTCCAAAGACTTGTTAAGTGCAATCGTACACTTATCCCAGACGATCAACTGACATTGCTGCAGAACATTTAAATGGAAATAACAAAGTTGGCAATGCGGATATCGACAAAATTGCCTCAGCTGATTGTCATAAATATGTAATTATAGTTGCAATCCCGTACGAGTCCGGACTAGTAAGAATCAGTCAGATTTTACTGGAAATCGATCCCGTACTTGGTTCTCTGACTATTGAGAGGAAAAAAAGAGAGTATATACGGTTCTCTCTCTGTCAGAAGTTATCAGTTTTGTTTCGAGAATTTTTTGCTGGTAAATTCTGGTGAATGTGTCAAACGATCAGCTGTAGTGTGTTTGGCAACCAAATTGTGTTTATACCGAGTTTGGTACAAATTGGTAGAACGGCTATCGAGATACATATCTATATGTATGTGCTCACAAGTGGGCGGTGCCACGCCCATTTTCCAAAATTTTATCATAAACGTATTTCTTGGTGAGGAATTATTGCTAGCATCAATTTTGAATAATTTAGCTTTAATATTTACTGATGTATCGAAGATTTCGTATTTCTCCAAATTACCATTATATGGGATGTGGGCGTGGTTATTGTCCGATTTTAAAAATTTTGGGCCGTTTTTTATGCTGTAGCAAGGCTAACAACCGTATTAAGTTTGGAAGAAATTGGTGCAGCGGTTACCAGATATGCAATCATAAGTGGGCGTGGCTGCGCCCACTTTCCAAAAAATTTTAATGTAGCTGTTTTTCGTCCAAAAATTATTGTAAATATCAATTTTGAGTGAATAATCTTCAGTAGTTACTGAAATATCGCAGTTTTCGTATTTCTGAAAATTACCGTTATATGGGAGGTAGGCGTGGTTATTGTCCGATTTTGCCCATTTGCAATACCGTCCGTCCTTCGCCCGAAAGAAGTGCCCGTACAAAGTTTCGTTAAGATGTCTAAATTTTTTCTCGAGTTATCGTGTGCACAGACGGACGGACAGACAGTCACCGCTTAATCGATTTCTCTTTTCATTCTGATCATTTATGTATACATTTGTCTATATCTATCTCGTTTCGTTTTGCCTGTTACAAATAACCGTTATGTGAAGAAAGTTATAATACCTTTGTGCACAAGTGCGCTCGGGTATAAAAATTAATGAAAAAAAAAAACAATAAAAAATATGTCAACACTGAAAAAATGTATATTATAAATTGATTTAAATTCGTATATACTGAAAGTGAACAAGAAATTTATTGAAAAAAAAAACATGGCGTTCACTAAAGTGTGTAAGCGCGAGGCCTTTTTTGCAAAAATTTTGAGTGCAAAGCTTAGTGTATGTTGTGCTTCGTAATTGTTAAGCGAGGAGTATCCAAAGAAAAATGTAAAATTTGAGCTTGCAGTATGATGTTAATATGTGCAAGGATTCCTCCCACTAAATTCTGGAAATTTTCAGGCACTAGGTTGCTA